ATACATACATACATACATACATACATACATACATACATACATACATACATACATACATACATACATACATACATACATACATACATACATACATACATACATACATACATACATATATAGACACACACACATACTCCGTATATATATGTGTGTCTATATATATGCTGTTTTTTGTAAATACCCCAACTATGGAAAGTGCTGATAGCATTGGAATATGTTAATAATATGGGGGACAACAAAAGATGATAGTTAGTCTGAAGTGTGTAACATAAATGTTAGCACCGAAAATGAAATCAATAAAAAGCATACAGGAGGTCAAAAGAACATTAACAAAATCAGGGAGGCAAGTATGCACCTAAGCAAGTATATTGAGTCTCAAGTGCCATCTTCATGTCTCAATCAGTCTGTATAACCCTACTATATTGATAAAAAAGAAAACTGGAGTCCATAATTGCTCAAGTCTCCATCGCCGACTTCATCTCTCTATATGCCAGCATTCAGTCCTACGGCTAAAGAGTCTGCAATGGCTAATGTAATTGCTTCATCTTTTTATTTTAATTTGTAATTCCTCTGAGTAGGTCAACAACCATATCTCTTTTCCTTATTCTTTTGCATCTTTCTCTTTCCCTCCGTCTCCCTTTCTCCAGCTTTATTGAATCTCTTTAAAATTAGGTTTCTCACTCAGATAGTTTGCAGCAGTAGAAATTTGTTTTGTTCTATTTTTAAAATTAAAATTTTGTTTTTGAATTTATACTCTTTTAGGTTTAAGTAGTTGGGAAGTTAGATTTTTAGTCTTAAAACGTTTATCATAAATCATGATCAGGTTTTGCCTATCTATTTTGCCATCTTTTTTTTTGTTCTAAATACGGAGTAACATATAAGTATGTTTTATGACTTCTATTTGACATGTTTACAAAGTATGCATTTTTTGTCACCCATAGTATTTATTTTTATTTTTTTCATAAAAAATCGAAGCTTAGGCCTCATAGCAAAATGCTCAACGGCCTGGCCTTTCAAACCCTTGACTCCTTAAGTCAACCTACACAAAACACTCCCCTAACGAAAGGGTTAATAGAACCCCCATCAGGTGTTGGTGTCACACTCTATAAGAAGTTTGTTGCCCAAATTTGGTATTTTAAAAAATTCCTATCAGTGGTCATGTTCTGGGAGAGGTTTAAGGCATCCATTGTACATTGCTCATCCTAAGTAGCTAAGTCCCCTGCTACATGCCTCCCTTCCTCACCTCTGAATCAAAACGCCTTCCACTAATCCACTCTCCTTGCTGTTGTTGCATCTCTCCGGCAAATGTGGTCAAACTAATAAAGCCTTCTCTCAAAATTTATCATAAATATGCATGATCCCTAACTCTTCCCAGAAGAACTCATTCGGTATTATGCACAACATAGTACAACCATATGTAGACCACAACATCCTCATTTCTGCATTTCCCAACTTCCACTCATGCACCTCCTCATTGCTCAACACTCGAACTAATACACTCAAAATAACTCATGAATAACTAACAAATACACCAATAATAATGGCATCATGGAACAATCGTTTGCCATAGCCAATTTGTCATGGTCATTGCATGGCATTGTATTAATTGAGGTGCTGCCATGTTTGACTGACTTATTTTGGAGCCCTTCAACATAGCAAAGTAGATGATGGACCATGCATTGAATATATAAGGTGGCTTTTATAAATAAATGAGTGGGAGAAAAAAACATTGTTCCAAGAGAAATTGACAAACAAGCAAGCACTCTCTCCATCCCCAAAAGATGTTTACACTTCCCCTTCGTAATTTTTTAGACAAGATAATTTGTTGTGATGATTTCCAAATATCCCCCTTAGTTAAAGATTTGTTGGGGAAGCAACAAGTTAAACTTTCTGGAGAAGTAATAAGTAGTAACTTCTTTAGAGATAGTGTTGTCTTTTCCCACCAATAATTTTACTTGATATGAAAGTGTGAACTTAATTTGGAGATGAGGAAAGTGAGAACTTAATTGGGGAATGGGTGTAGTATTTAAAAAAACAAAAACAAATCACTACGATCTCTTTCTTAGGCTAGATATGTCTCCTTGGCCTTCCATATGTAGTTTCAGAAAAGAAAGTCAAATCTCTTTCTTTTTTTGATAATTAGAAAATGCTATTCTAATGCCAATTGCATATCCAATTTCATTGCTTCCCTCCTCCAGATAACAGTTGAATGTTAAAACATTATACTATATTATAAAATCATATTCACCACAACAGTTTGGCAAGCCAATCTATTTCGGCTAATAATAGAATTACAATTTCTTCAGGTGACTTAGGACCCAAATATCAATGTCTGGTTCAAATCCCAAACTCGAAATGGGTACAAGTGTAATCATTTGATTCATTTCCGCCATGGAAGTCACTATCCTGTACTGAATTTCCAACCCAAACATCATATCATCTCACATGAATCAAACGCATCACCAAAACTACGAATTTCCAAATTCCACTTCCACAACGAGCTTGCAACCAATCCTAAGTCCTCACTCAAAGTCGTGCAAATGCATAAGTGTGAAAGGGAGCGACATCTGTGTAATATAACTCTGAAAATGACTCACCTTGGGAGAAATTGAGGTGAAGCAGTGGAGTATATGGGAGTGCAGATCTGAAATGCAGCTACCAATTTGGCCAATGAGCAGATAAGGTTTGATCTGAGCGAATGAACCAATATTACTCCCTTAAAATGCGATTTCTAATGAAATCGAGAACTATCTTACTGATTGAGCGTAGCCATTTCTGGGAATTTTGGGAGAGTGCCGCCATGGTAATTTGCGATCGTTTCCCTTGGCTTCACCGTCGTGCCGCCATGGTATATCCAGAACAAATTAGGGGTGCTGCGAAAGATTTGGATACATTGTTTAAAGGGTCCATGGATCTAAAAATTGCTGCAGGTACACTAGCAATCCCGATTGTTTTTCAAAATATACTCCGAGTTACTTTAAGATATTCGAAAACTGACTCCGGGGTAACAATCCGTCATTCTCTCCGTTAACATTTCTTCTCCGTTATCCTCCTCCTCCTCCTCTTCTCAAAAAATTGCTGCCAGGTACCCCTTATTTTCGGATAAAGACTGGCAGGTCCCATTTTTAAAAAAAATTTGCTCATGGAAATTTAAAATATGATGTGTGTGACTGAAGAGGGAACTTACATATCATTTATAAAATTAAAATTATTTGATCACTTGGTTATAAATTATACGTCGTAATTCATAATAATATTAAATTTAACACTATTTTTATTGTTTCATCTTATTCTTTTCTCAAGTCCTCTTGTTTTCTCGATTTACCATGACACCATTACTAATGACGACTATCAATGACTAATGCGGAGTACTATTTTTCTAAATAATAATGATTGTTACTCCGTATTTCTTAAAAATAGAGTAATAAAATTACTACTCTGCAATTAACTTTTAATAATAATTAAGAAAATAATAGGAAATACATAATATTATCCATTTTGACCAAAAAATAAAAGTAGACAAATACTCTAGAACAAAGGAGTAATTAATATGAAGTAATAATAATAACTAGTGGTATTTTTTAAAAAAGTATAGAAGTAAAATTACTAATTAATTGCTTAAAATAAATAATAGTATTAATAATAAGTGTTATTTAATAATAAGTGCTATTTTTCTAAATAACAATTAGTGTTTTTATAGAAAAAAGTGGTAAAACTAACAATTAATTTTTAATAATAATAGTAATAATAATAAATCAAAAAATTAATAATAATAATAGAATAAGAAAATAATAATTATGAAGTAATTAATTATAATAATTATTAACAAATAATAATAATAGAAGAAGAAAAAAACAAAAGAAAAGGTAAAAGAAGAAAAAAACGTGGGTGGGAGAGGAATGGAGGTCACTGGAACTCTGGAAGGCAGGAGAAAGAAGAAGAAAAGAAGAAAAGAGGAGGAAGAAAAGAATGGGACCTGCCAGTCTTTATCCGAAAATAAGGGGTACCTGGCAGCAATTTTTTGAGAAGAGGAGGAGGAGGAGGATAACGGAGAAGAAATGTTAACGGAGAGAATGACGGATTGTCACCCCGGAGTCAGTTTTCGAATATCTTAAGGTACCTCGGAGTATATTTTGAAAAACAATGAGACCTGCTAGTCTTTATCCCAAAATTAGGGGTACCCAGCAGCAATTTTTTGTCCATGGATTATGTAAAATCCATGGATTATTTTAAGTCTAAGCAGAGTTTGTTAGATTTTAATGTATTTTATCAGCAAGATTTTATAGGATTCTGTCTGATTGTTTCTAATCCATATATTATTTATACATAAATAAGAATTACTTTATAAAATTATACATTATTGTAACATCAACTATTGTAATTAGCTATTAAAATTTTGAGAAGATTATAATAAAATAAATATAAATTATTTTTTAAAAACTTTTTCATCATCATAATATGTTTGTTAGAATAAAATAATACTACGTGTAGTGCTCAATGCCATAAGCAATAAATTTGTTTTTACAGCTAAAACGGTTATTGTCTCTCAACTATTCTTCTTGCATGTCTAGTTCAAGAATGTGTAGGATCGTTTTTCTGGAACTTCCCAGTGGGTCACCCATCCTGAGACTACTCCCAGTTCCAGCACGCTTAACTACAGAGTTCTGAAGTTAAAGAGGTGTCAAATGCTTCCTAAAACTAATTGGTGATAAGAAGGTGGACACTTTGTATTTAACCACATCTCTCTGTAGCCCCAAGCCGAGGTAGATTCCTATAGGGCACCCTCTATAGTTCACTACGGTAGTGCGGAGCCCCACTACTGAGCGGTGGATGGACAGGAAGGGCTTCGCAAGATACACGACTCGTGTACCTCGTTAGGTTGGGCTGTCAGTACCCGATACCGTGACTAGCACAGTAGCGAATCCCTAAGGGTGATCGATGGTCCCCATAAGACCAACACAATGAAAATAAAAAAAATACAAAAGAAGAGATTATCTAAAATTTAAAGATAATTGAAAAAATAATATTTTTAAACAACAGAGTCTTCCATTTCAACTTCATTATCATTAAAACCTTCCTCATTCTCCTCATTAGCATCATTTTGTGGTCGATCGCCCCACATAGCTTCAGCAATGCCATGTCTCCAAGCGTTAGCTTCTGTTCTTTGTTGTTGTTGAGTTTGAGAAAGTATTTCAAAATTTTCTTCTTCCATGTCCAGATATGATGAAGAAGACGACTCTAGTTCTGGTTCTGGAGGAAATTCATCAGAACGACACTCTTTACGAAGAAAGTTGTGTAGTCCTGAAATGGTGCTCACGAAGATTGAACAACTCATTTGCATTTCGGGGGTGACGACCTTGACCTCCAAAATCTTTGAGATGATATCGGACACCTCGAAATGGTGCTAAAAATTGTCGTTGATTAGCAAATCCACAGTCAACCAAAAAATATTTTCCTGAAATAAAAGTAGGATGCCATATACCCATAACAAACATTTCAATGTAAGTACACTTAAAGAAACACAAGGTATATTTGTTCTTTGATCGTTTTGGATTTAACAAGAATAAGTACACACACAAGATAAGTGGATAATAAGTAAAAGAAAACTCAACCACAGATATACTTGTTCTTTGATCGTTTTGGTTTTAAAGAAAACTCTTTCTGTAGTTTATTGTTATTATCCAAACAAGATAAGTACACACACACACATTGATAAGTGAACTCAACCAGGCATAATGCATTTTTATCAGGAAAAAAGTACTACGGAGTACATACGCCAATGTAAAAAACAGAACAACCAAGCACAACACAGAGCACTTATAATGGCCATAAATATCATTTCCCAACTGGAATAATGCATATAAAATTGAATCCCAAAACAAACAAGACCAACCCACAAAGTTTCAAAGTTCATCTTCCATCCGGTGCATAATGAAATCTCGAGAAACTATTTCCAAAATAATCTTTGAAATAGATTCTAACAATTCTTTAACATATTAAGAACAACTCTTCTTGACATTTCTTCAAACACATAGAGGGTATAATCATATTAACCTAGAAATCTATAATTGAACACACCAAAAGAGAATAAAAAAGTCAACATTCTCAAAACACACACACAAACACAAGTAGAAAAAGAAGGCAAAGGGGACAGAGATGAAGAAGGATGGTGTTAAGAGGACATACCTGGAAAGATGGAGAAAAGAGGAAGAAAGGGAAGGAGATGAGGAGTAAGAGGCGGAAGCTCTACCTGAAAAGCAGGAGATCGAGAAGATGAAGATCCGCCGGCGGAAAAGATGGAGAAGATGAACCGAGAAAGAAACCGGCTCTGGAGTCTCACAAAATCTCTGGCCTTTTGAATGGATTTGGAAGCAATTTTTTTATTTATACTTCAACCTCACAATCCATTGTTTATAACAATCCTTTAAAATCTGTCAATTTTTCAATATCATTAGATTTAGAAAGATTTTTTAAAATCTCAATTAAATATCTCAAAATTTTAAATGACTTTTCAAAATCTTGATTGAATACTCATTGACTTTTAAAATCCAAAAAAATCCTGCAGAGTCGGAATTGAATACACCCCTCTTAATTAATTAGTTTTAGAAAAATGCACCAACTGACCAAAGCCCCATTTGTCCCCCACCCCCTCCTCTACCACATAAATGAGGAAAAAACTTAAAAATAAAAAAATAATTAAAAATGAAATAAAAATATATGGTAGAGAGGGGGTGGGGGACAAATGGGGTACACTTTTAGTGTACTCCTAGCTTTGCTCTTAGTTTTAAGAGTGTAAATATTAATTTCATTTAATTAGTGATTAAAATTTGTTAATTTTGATTATAAAAAATTAAAACTAGACAAATAGTAATAGAAAGAATTAAAGTTTCAGTAAAGTAAGATATCTTTACATTAGTTTTAGACTAAATTTTTAAAATAATTCTTTCTAATGAGGTATTTTTTAAAATTAATTCTCAATAAATAATAATTACAAACGTGATCTTTTATAATTTAGATTTATTTCTTAAATAGTCATCTATCAAAAAAATCTATTAGATATCAGTCAAATAAAATGTATTAGATGAAAAATATATAAATAACTGTCATTTAATAGACATGCTTTATAGAAGACTATTTACATAATACATTTCAATTACAAAAGAATGTGTTGGTAATTATTGTTTATTGAGAATTGATTTAAAAACACACCTTGCTAGAAAAGATCATTTTGGAAATTTACTCTGAGTAATATTTCCAATAAGATATTTTTCCAAATTAGTCCTCAATAAACAAAAACTACCTACGTGATTTATGTTAATTTAGATTTATTCCCTAAATGATCATTTTTCAAAAAATGTCTTTTAAATGTTAATCAAGTAGAAGGTACTTAGATATTTTCTATCATCTAGACTTAAAATATGTTCTTGAAATACTCATTTAGAATTAAATATTTTTCAAAACTAATAATTTATAAGTACATGTTTTTCCAAAATGGAGCTCATAGGTCTATTTGGGGTGGATCCATTCTTTTGAGAGATATACATTTGAATTGAAAGAACTATTTTGAGGACTTTAGATAATGAAAAATACAAAAATACCTTCAATTGAACTATTATAAGATTGACCTAAAAGAAATGTAAAATTTATTTAAAGAATAACTAAAAATCAATTGAAAATAATATAATTAGAATTTCACGTTGAGCTTGTAAAAAAATTGACGTTGAGAAGAAAAGAACAATAGTAGTGATAATGATACTTATGATGATAGTAATGGTGATAATGATAATAATAGTAGTAACAACAACAATAATAATGATAATAACAAGGATGGTAACAAGGGAAACATTCGATATTTATTTTTTTATCAACTATCCAATCTTTTTATTTCATATTTAGAATTCTGTAGTAAGGACTATGTGGTGTACACTTGGAGTACAACGTACCTTTTGGTAAGGTGTGCCTCTACCACTTTTCATACTAAAATAGAATGCTTAATGTCAACACATAATATAAAAACATCATGTCATACCAATACCAAAAATAGAATAGGAAAAGATTGTGCAACAAAATGTGTCGTTTCATAATGTCAACATTGTTGGGTGATTTCCTTCCGTGTGTCAATCTATAGCAGCATGTTCCTTTATATGTATTTTAAATATATAATTTCTCAAATAAAACTAACCGAAGTAGCTTGTTCCATTTTTGTATTAAATATTATTCTTCTGGACGGAGTAGGCAACTCTGTTTCAATTATTTAATTAACAAAACGGAGTAAGCTACTCCGTTTCTCCTTTTTTAAAATTAAATTTTCTTCTTTATTTTACATAATTGAAGAAATAAAAAATATTATAAAAAACAACAAATTAATTACATACAATGAAACAAAAATAAATCCAAACTACATAAAGAAAATATGAATACAAAGAATCTACTAATAATAAAATTCACAAATAAAACAGTTATTTATTGATTTTAAATAAAGCATCATACATCGAAATTATAATAAAAAGTAAATTACAACAATTTTTTTGATAGGGTATATATAAATTATTCAAAAAAATAAGGTTACAAAGCACATGCCATGACTAATTTATTTTGTGAAATTCATAAAACATAAACTTAGACATAATTGAAATTCATGATATAGCAATTGCTCATTGCGACGTCTCCGTGTTGGTTAGTCCATGTTATTCGGATAGCGAGTTCTCGTAGCTCGACCGGTTGGTGTCCTCGCTTGTGCAGTTGGTCTCACTATCTCGTACCCTAGAATAGGTCATTCGGCCTCATCACAAAGTGGCATTATGATGCCAGATTAAGTGCTGATGTAGGACTAGATTGAAAAAATATTAGGAGTCAAATGATCCACGGTGACACTACATAGATGACATATTGCGTGGGCATGAATGCACGGAATGTGATATGTTATCTATTCTCCACAGCTACATGTTCGTGCATTTAAGTTCATCGCAAATGTCTCGCGTTAACCAATGATGGAGGGTCCATCCACCACCACAGAGTATATCCCATGTTGTGCATGGTGCTGCACAATATGACAATAAAGCCTAATTTCCTCATTTTTCTTGATATTTTTTCACACATTCATAGGAAAATAATACCCGGATTGTTTTCACAAATATCCATTTGTTTGCCTATCAACAAAAAGCTTGACCAATTTATCATAGGTAAACCTCACAATGGCATAAACGGGTAAACAACGACATCCCTTAAGGACATTATTGAAGCTTTTTCTGACGAATTTGTGGTCGTTATACCATAGCGTGAGCCACCTTCATCATGGGACAATGCCCACATGTGTTTTAGAATAGCCATTAGCCAGTTGTAAGCTTCTTGATTTTTTGACGCTGTCTGGAGAAGCGTCTGCTCAAACTTACTTCTACTAGGGGTCTCACTAGCTTTGTACATAAAATTCTTCAACTTCTTTCTTTGAAACATGCTATGGAAATTGCTTCGTAAGTGGCAGAGACAATATTTTCGAGTGACTTGACCTCCCTCCAATTCTGGAACATTTGCGAATGTGTGGTCAATACCACCGTGTCTATCAGTCATTATACATATATGGCGGTTTGGAGGCACGACATGACACATGATACTTGTCATGAACCACTTCCGGTTTGCACCATTCTAAATATCCACAATGGAAAAAGCCAAGGGAAAACTTTTGCCATTTCTCGTCATTGCCATGACAAGTAATAAGGTTCCCTAATACTTGCCGTATCATAACGTCCCTCTCATACCTCTAAATACTGTCTCTCACCATTGCCAATTTGCATAACATTTGACTTAATGTGGTGTAAATATTGATCATGTACAACAACTTGAGGGACGTGTTGGAGGGCACCAAATTGCCTGCAAAACCGATCTAGATAGTACATCTCCACTACATATGCATAGATCCGAGGGATGTTTTTTTTAAATTCATATTCTGACTCCAGCTGAACTATAGAGCGATATGAATTCGAGATTTGGAGACGACATCCAAACAAACTACATACATAAAACAAGTAATATGATACACATTAAAACTAAAATATAATTTAGTTTTAATAATTTAATAATATTTAGTACTATAATTCTGAACAATTCTACTATGCATATACTACAATGTTTCATTAATAAATAAATGAATTAAATTGAAAACAATCAATTTTTTTTAATTAAGTTGAATAGGGTTTTATAATAAGGAGTATTCTCTTGGAAAGAAATCTTTGATCAAATCTCCCGCAGACCCGACCTCCGATGGCGAATCAGTGAAAAGCAGACCCCTGAAAGAAGGCCCCAAGCTGAATCGGAAATCTTCATCTCCAATGGCTCGAAGATCGTTCCCAATCCTCAAACAAATCCTCCAGAAATCAGCCGAAAATCCCCGCCCTTTCTTATGCCGATCCGTGACCTACATGCCTCGACCTGGTGACGGCACGCCGAGGGCCGTAACCCTGATTCCCGGCGATGGCGTCGGGCCACTGGTGACCAACGCCGTTGAGCAGGTGATGGATGCGATGCACGCTCCGGTCTACTTCGAGCGCTACGAAGTCCACGGAGATATGAAGAGCGTGCCCCCTGAGGTGATCAAGTCGATCCAGAAGAACAAGGTGTGTCTCAAAGGTGGCCTTCATACGCCTGTTGGCGGAGGCGTGAGTTCTTTAAATGTACAGTTGAGGAAGGAGCTTGATTTGTTCGCTTCCTTGGTGAATTGCGTCAACCTTCCTGGTCTGCCTACTCGGCATGACAACGTTGATATAGTGGTGATTAGGGAGAACACCGAAGGAGAGTACTCTGGACTCGAGCATGAGGTAGTTCCTGGTGTCGTCGAAAGCCTCAAAGTAATGATCTTATTTCATCTGCTTAAATCATGATGCTAATATATGAAATTACCATTTGCATAGTTTGTTCTCGTTCACGTGCTTGCCTTATTGATTTTATTAAATTGATGGATAAGAATTTTGATGGTTAGCTCAACTCTCAATGTCTTTTGTTGCCGATCTACTTTTAAAATGTGCACAATCTGAAAATGTATGTATAGGTTAACGATGATTGATTGATTTTATGTCTTGAGCTCATCTATCATGCTTCAGAGTTTGTTAAGAGTGCCATAAACTGATGGCACACTAACCCATTTGAGTTTATAACCTTTAATCCATGGGTTAAGATAAAATTAAGTATTGTAGAATCGCTGTGAAAATATCAATGTATTGTCATATGTAAACATGAACTGTTTGCATCTGCTATCATCCCTAGGAAGAAACAAGCAACCATCACAAACTTGTTGGCGCAAATGTGCAATGTTTTTTGATCTATGATTTCCCGTTTAGGTTAAATTAAACATCTCATGCACCCATTTTTTGTAAACGGAGTATTTCCCCTGTTGTTGGATGAAATCGATTTTGAACGTTATTTACCCTATTTTTTTGCCCAGGTTATAACAAAGTTCTGTTCAGAGCGCATTGCCAAGTATGCATTTGAGTATGCTTATCTAAACAACAGAAAGAAGGTGACGGCCGTGCACAAAGCCAACATCATGAAGCTTGCTGATGGTCTGTTTTTGGAATCATGTAGAGAAATTGCCAAGAAGTATCCTGGAATTCATTACAATGAAATTATTGTGGACAACTGCTGTATGCAGCTTGTCTCAAAGCCAGAACAATTTGATGTTATGGTTAGTGGAAAATCCTTCATTCATGACAATGCTCATCTGCTCCCCTATTATATTGGATTGGACTATTGGAGCATATGCATATGATTGCTGTTTCAGTAGATAAGTAATACTGCAACCGTGCTTCATCTTGTCACAAAAATTCTCTTTATGGCGACATCTTTTCTTCACCTAAGTTTTTTTTTGTATTTTCTCCTTGTTTGCTATGAAATATGGATTAATTTGCCTGCTTAATATGGTTGTCTGGTGTGCTATTGCTCTACTATCATTTAACATGCATGGTGTTGGTACTCCTATATGTTATTGCAGTTTATATATCTTGCATACAGCAGATGCAACATGCAATGGTTATCCTGATAAACTACGATACTGCATGTCTGCATAATAAATCAAAACACTCTTTGGAATCCAAAAAACTAACACACTTGCTTTGAGCCTTTCTATCCGCTTCTTGTATCTCCACTCTCTTTAATATAGAGAGCTGTTTTCATTTTCCGATTCCCTGGAGTCATCCTGTCTTGGCATGAAGTTTGATACTAACTCTGTACTAAATTGGTATAATGGTATGTGAGCAAAGGGTCTACCATCACCAAGAGGCTTCATTTCTCTCTCTCTCTCTTGATGAAATGAAATCCCCATATGGAATAATTGATTGAAAGAAGAAAAAACAGTTGACTAGCTTGAATATGCAAAGGAATCTTGAGGTTAAAGAAATTGATGGAGACATGAGTCCTTTGAGACTCGAGATATGAAATCACAAAAACCCGTGAGGATGAAGAAGATAACGACGCGTGGCTTCTGAAAGCTGCATGAAGTACATCCCCCTACAGTGGAATTATGGCGAGTTTCACTTCAGGGTGTGTGTGTGTGTGTTGGATCAAATAGAGGGGCTTCGTCCCACATTGAAGAACTAAACAAGGAAAAAATGGGCGCTTCTGATTGTGTCTGTTCAACCCAACACCTCCACTTTTTCATTGGTCCCATTGATCCCATTGCCAACAGTTATGTCTGCTCTGGCCTCATGCAGTCATGCTTTCTTCAGTGGACTGCTGGAATATCAAATATCAATACATATCTGATGCATTATGAATCACAATATGTTTCGGTTGTTTCCTATCCCATGCATTATGAATTGCATTACGTATTTACGTGTACTATTAAACTGGTATATGAATTGGACGTTTGAAAAAATGCATGTATGAAATGGATAAAACGGGATTTTGAGATATGAGTGCATATATTGATGTCTATGCATTTATGCAGGTAATGTGTTAAACAATTTATTAAGACTTCGCTCGGTTACATTGTTATTCACAACTCTCTATTTCTTTTTGTGTGGGAAGATTTTCAACTCATACAGACTGCTCTTTGTAGGTCACTCCCAATCTTTATGGAAATCTGGTTGCAAATACAGCTGCTGGTATAGCTGGTGGCACAGGAGTTATGCCTGGAGGTTAGGTTCATTTTAATCTTCAAATTGAATACCCTTGCACATAGGTATACATTAAGCATTTGTTGCTTTGTGATGACAACTCATTAAAGAAAAACGATAGTGATAGATGATACAATTATGATTTACATTTGGCCTGGTTTCAAGTCCATATTATGTCACATTCATATTACATTTGTGATGACACATTCATAATTTTTTTTTTGCCAAAATAGGAAATGAGAAAGAAATTTTTGGACAGGTCAAAAAAGAAAATGAGAAAGAAATTATTGGACAGAGAGATTATTTATCAAGTCCATAACCTTTTTTTTGGAATGAAATGAAAAATTAGCTCTTGAGAAGGATTTTGGAGGAAATAAAACTTTTTGCCCGGAGTGGGGGGGATGCGTTTGGAACCTTTTTTGTAGTTAGTAGTCCTTCACATGCAAACAAAAAGAGTACCTGGAGCCTGGAGAGGATTACAGTTTTTTTCCTTTCCCAAATGTTGTTTTGGCGAATGCTTGTTTGAAAATGCTTTAAGTCGTATTTCTAACTCAAACTCCTTGGAGCTAAGCTGCGATCTACTAGATTCTACATTGCTCTTAGAGATGCATGGGAAAAAACCTGATTTTTTTTATGTCCTACAGGCAATGTTGGGGCCGATACTGCTGTCTTTGAGCAAGGTGCTTCAGCTGGGAATGTAGGAAACCAGAACCAAGTTGAGGAGAAAAGGGCAAACCCAGTGGCAGTTCTCCTCTCGTCGGCTATGATGCTGAGACATCTCCAGTTTCCGTCATTTGCTGATCGCTTGGAGACTGCGGTGAAGCACGTGATAGCTGAAGGCAAGTACAGGACAAAGGACTTGGGAGGAGACAGTACAACCCAAGAAGTGGTGGATGCTGTTTTAGCTGCTCTTGACTAAGAACCATATTTCATTTATTGAGATCAAATTCAGATTCTTCTGCCCAATCATTCCTGCTTAATAAATTTCAATTGACTTTGTTTTGATTGCCCAATGTTTTGTTTTTGGTTTGGTTTTTAAGGAAAACTGCAATCATCCCAAGAGTTACGAATGCTGTCATATCGGCGTTCCAGTTTTTTGCATTCTAATTCATTTTTTATGTACTCCATCAAAGACAGAGTATACGATAAAGAAGGATGTTATTCATTGGCCTGGATATTATTCATCGATGATATCATTGTCTGCAAATGTTGTTGGCTATATTATTCAGTGAGTTGTGCGAATCTGCAAAAGTTGTTGACAAAAGACATCTTATTATTTAGACCTTTCTTTGAGGCATCATTTTTTCTCCTAAATTTTAAGCGGTGGGGTTCCCATGACATTGGAACCCCATGTCATGAGATGATCCAGAGGCGCTCCGCTATCCCGTTTGTAAAATTGATGGTTCCTACTTCCTACCCCTTGTCCCCTTGGTAAACCATCTCACCCCGCCCGACCTGAACACACTCCCCCACAAGTTGATTTTGACTTTGGAGTCAAAATGTGACTCCAAAGTCAAAATCAACTTGTGGGGTGCAATTGAAGGGGGTGGGGGTGTGTTTGGGTCGGGGCAGAGTGTGAGGGGTATACCGGGGGTAGGGGTAGGAACAATCAATATAACGAACGGGGCACCGGAGCGCCCTGGATCATCCCATGACATTGCTGGGCAATGTCATGGAAACCGTCCCCAATTTCAAGTTTCTTTTTTGTCCTAAGCAAGGCTAGAGAGGGTATGCATTTAGGGCACCTCGAAAGGGCCTGAACTCACCTCTATATATCCCATAAGGTCTTTTTTACTTGTTCCAATGGTTCCCAGAGCAAAAGGTCATTTCCTTACCACAAGAGAAATTATGTGCCTCAGAATGTCTCGGAAGGACTCAACCATCCCAAAGTAGGGGTGGCCACAGTACCGATCTAGCTTGGTTTCAAATTGCCCATTCCCGATTCTTATTTGGACCTATACTGGTTGGTGGTGGGGCTGAGTCCGGGACACTTCCAGTTTCGGCTTGTTGAGTTTCACAGTCTCCAATGCGACACTTTGACCATTAATATCTTCATTTTTATATGAATATATATTACAAAAATAACTTGTTTCAAAACTACGTTTCAAAATGAATCTATTGATAATAAATTTATATGAAAATTCAATATATTTTTCTAGTAATATACGGTCAATGTTTAAAAAGTTTAACTGCAAAAGTCAAACCAAAAAGTTAATTATACGACACAGGGAATATTTTTTTCTTTCTTTGTAGATATTGTGAATTAGCCTAAACAGAAGTGCTACATACTGAGGACCACAAAAAAGCTCAATTTTTATTTTTTTTACTTTACCAAAACTTATCTCTCCATTAATTACTTCACCAATTCTTATTCAAGAAAACCAAAAAAACGTGCTCCGTATAAAACATAATCACTAAACCAAATCTTCAAATGCAAATTACAAGTACCAATCGAACACATTCAAGAAATCCTTTACCATTTTCAACATATAGATTTTCCCCCAAATTTGCATCAAATTACTAAACAAGAGTTTCATGGTCAAGACTGAATCACTTACACATGAAAACAAACACTGAAGAGCAGAGAGACAACGTTGGAGGGATTCTGTTTGTGCCCTTATGTCCAATTTATTTAAGAAAAATCCCACAAAAAGTAGAGTCGGGGACAAACACCCGTGATCCGCGTCCCTCAATTCCCGGTTTGAACCGCGGGATTTTGAGTGAGGTTGAGCCTAAGCATGAAGTTGGAAGTTACAAAACCAAAGTAGAGATGATCCCGGATCTTGATTCCGGTTGACACGAGCATGGAATGGCGGTCGTGGTAATGAGCCACCGGGTTTCCCTCCAAATCCACCGCGAAAGCCCCTCCGTTCCTCTCCATTTCCGGTCGCACTCCGTACTTCACCATCACTCCCAAAACCATCCTCATCAAGGGATGCTTCTGCGCAAGCTTCCACTCCAAGGTGTAGTCCTTTGAAAATCAAAACCATTCAACTCGGATCGTAAGACACTCTGGTCAAATCACACTAAAGCATTTAAATGCAATCGATTCGTTACTTCAATCCGAGATCCTACCAGTAAAGACATCAAACTCCAAAACACACCAAACAAACACGGTACGAGTATATATATATTATAGTCATACGCTGACGAACGCAATCCAGAAGAGCCCTTCTCCATCGTATCGAATGTTGTCTGGCATTCCTGGCAAATTCTCTATAAAGACATCAATGTCCCCCTTCCCTTCACCCTTTATGAACAACCTCTTACACCTCCTCCTACAACCCAACATAATCGAGAACCCATATATAATTAGTTCCACTATTAACCTTCGTTTATGATCGGTTGTTATATGAATTTTAGATCCTTAATTATAACAATGCATGAAATTTAATTAGCGGTAAACTCACAATGGGGTTTCGCAGAAAACGACAAACTTCTGGTCCGGAGAGACAACAACGCCATTTGCAAAGAACAAGTCTTTGACAAGCACTTTGGTCTGTTTGGTATTTGGGTCGTAACATAGCAACCTTCCGTAGGGCCTCCCTTCAAGAAAGTCCGAAATGAAGTCGTTCAGGCTGTATTTCCAAGACGCGTCCGTAAAATAGAGGACACCGTCCTCTGCAAGTCCAACCGCGTCCGTCAACTTGAACTTCACCCCCTCCGCCTCATCCGCCAGCAGCTCCACTCGGCCATCCGCCGTCACATTCAATAATCCCTGTAAAGAAGCATCTCATTGAACAAATTATATTGTTCATACAAATTTTAATTTAGTAATTATTTACTATGTAATATGTAAATGTGTATTCATTAATTTTATAATGTGAGTGTGTGCAAAAGAAAATATATTTGCTTTTCGTTCGATGATTTTAGTTTTTTTTTTCTCACACGTTTGAAATCTTAGCAACAGAGTGAAAAAAGTTCTTTTAGAGACAAAATGAGGATTATGCAATATATAAGTTCAATGGTTTCTGGATATTATTTTTTAAAATAGGAGTTCAAAATAATTCAATTGCAAATTTCTTATACTCCCTCCGTCCCAAAAAGTCTTTCCTGTTTCATTTTTTGCGCATCACATAAAACACTTTTACCGACATCTAAAATGCATAAAATTTACAACATTTCTTCTTTATTGTGGGTAGAAGTTATTTTGAAAGTTTTTTTGGCATTCAAGGCGTGATATAAGTGTTTTAAGAGATGCGCAAAAATGAAACAGGAAAGACTTTTTGGGACGGAGGGAGTAGTACGTAGTAACTCAATCACAAAATAAAAGATACAATTTGATTCACGATCATTAACTGTTTTTTTTTCAATTTTGTTTATTTTAAAATTGGTGTAGAAATAAAAAAACAAAACTTTTATATTTAAAAACTATAACAAAATTTCTAAAAATTAAATATTAAGCGATCAAATCCCGGATGATAAACTTTTATATTACGTGTGAATTTATTTAAGAAATATACTTAAATAAGATTAAAACATTGAAGTTATACAAAAAAATAATAAGACTTCAATGTATCTATTTATTTCCAAAATAACATTGTTGAACTTTTGCAATTTATATTTGCACGTCATAATGCTTTTTTTGATATTATATATTGACATTATTGGCTTTATAAATTAAATTTTATTTTGATATAAAAACATAGAAATTCGTATTGTAATATATGGGATATATTTTAATCCTACTCTCTGCGGTCGTAAAAATCTTTCTTATTTTGATACTCTTTGATTACAAATTAAACATAATCGGGATAATAAAAATTTGATATATCAAAACTATATTTTAAAATGAACCCAATTACATATTCAATTTATATTATAATAAGTACTTTTCTCACAATTTGTAATCAAAGTATGTCACAATTCGATTAAAAAAATCAAAACATGAATTTTTTTAGGACAAATGGAGTATTTACGAAATTCTCTATTTTGGAACAAAAGGAATAATTATTAAAAATATTTGCACTAAATAGCACTAAAACTTAAGTCATTTCTCTAAATAACACTTAAATTGTTTTATTCTCTAAGTAACACTTAATAATGTCTATAATGACCAGTGATGACGAATATTTACTTGAATAATGACTAATGCATAATGACTAAAAGTGCTATATTGGGAAGAAAAACACATGTAGTGCTATTTATAGAAAGTCATTTTGTTTTTGTGTTATTTCAGTAAATTTCTTAGTAAATTTCTCTAATTATTATATAGGCCGTGTTTGGAAAACAGCATTTGGGATAGCTTTTGGCATCTTTGACTGACTTTGGCTTTTTTGACCAAGCGAACCGCCAAAACCATTGTTTGGCTAATGGCTTCTTCACTTGGCATTTTGATCCGAAAAGCCAAAATCTGAAATGCCAAGGTGAGTAGCATTTGGACATGGCTGTTAGGAAAAATATTTTTTTTAAAATCATTTTTGTTGAAAGATATTTTATAATATATGTTAAAAAATAAAAATAAAAGTTAAAAAAATTAAATACGAAAAAATAAAATGAAATTAAAAAATATATGGGGCACTCACAATATCAGCATCAGCTACCAAAACTTCCCCGTGAAGTCCAAGGGCGAGTCCAAGCGGCCTGCCGCCCGTGTTGACCCAGTCCTCGACCACCGAGTCCGCCGCCGAGGACTCGTTCACCGTCACTCGCTTGACCCACCCATCCACACACCCGGTGTATATGACCCCCGTCTTGGGGTCGTAGGCTATGTCCTCCGGGCCCCACAGCCGTCCCACTCCTATCCTCTCTGAGCCATGCAGCATCCGGGCGTTGCTGCTTGGGGCCGGCGGCGGCGGCGGGCTCTTCTGACTCGGCTGCTTAGCCGGGTACGGTGCTGGGTCGAACGAGTCGAGTTGGAAAACGACGAGGCCTAGAATTACCGGCACGAGAAAAGCAGCAAACGGCCATAATAGATGATTCATATGGCCGGGCAGGAAGATCCTTTATTTCTTAGCTTCTATATATCAGTGTTTTGTACAGAAAATTACTCACGGGTGACGCGAGTTTTGTTGAAATAACTCTCAGGTCCCTCTATTTTCAAGAAGACAGCAGAGGTCCTTACATTTTGTTGTAATGACTGGAAGAGGACATTTCATCCAATATTTCATCTATAAACGTTAATAAATGTATTTTTTTCCTATTTTTTTCTAAATGTTTTAAGGTAATAAATCTTAGGTCGCTCCTTTTTTTATTTCTTTGTTTTTCTTTCATTTTGTTACTATTTTTTAAAGTGTTATTTTAGAATTTCTTCTATAAAATCGTATAAAAATTCAAAATTGTTTGTATTATATTAAAACAAATGAAATAAAAAAAATTTAAAAAAAGAAAAAATAAGGTAATGACAAAATAGGAAAAAAACGGTATTGGAAAAATAGGAAAAAAAATACATTTATTAATACTTACGGATGATGTATTGGATGAAATGTCCCCTCCCAGTCATTACAACAAAATATAAGGACCTCGGTTGTCTTTTTGAAAATAGGACCTGAAAGTTATTTCGACAAAACTCGCGTTACCTGAAAGCTTTGTATAAAGAAATCTTTGAGCTGATCCATCATTAATTTACTCCCTTCCTTCCATAGTTGTATTTGAATTTTCACCGGTACAGTATTTTGATCATTAATATTCATATTTGCATATATTTATGAATTATAAAAATATGATATTTTAAAATAACGTGTCAAAATGAATATATTTAATTAGATTTAATTTATTTTACAATCCAATATAATTTTTTTTACTATAATTCATATGGTCAAATAAAAAAAAGTTGCTTGCAAATATCAAAATGAAAAGAAGATACACGACGGGGAGAGTATGCGTTTATTATTTACTAAATATATCTCACATTTGCTTTTTCAACACTCGCAAAAACTTTTGTTTATTTCTACTTTTTTGTTAGTTATTTGATAAAATAAAATATTTTTGACATCTCTTATTTTGAAGAACTTTTTACTTAGTTTTTTGATATGTAAATTTTATTTTTTATTTAAATACCAATATGTAAATAAAATAAATTGAAAAAATTTGATATTTTACCTCAGTAATAGAAGTGTGACAAATATTTAGAAACGGAAGGAGTATTTGATAAAATAAAAAACTCTTGTCACCTTTTATTTTGTTGAATTTTTGATGTTGTTGATAGATATGTAAATTTTATTTTTTATTTCTATACAAACCTTAAAATAAAATGAATTAAAAAAACTTAAAACTTTATTTGTTTTTAAAAGAGAAGAAAATATTAAATACTCCCTCCGTCCCGAAAAGATTTACACCTTTTAAAAAAATTGCGTTCCACAATCTCCTACCCATTTCTATTAAAAAAACCACTTTTAGCCATTACTTTTTCAAACCCTACCTATCACATCATACCTTTTTCCTAATAATCTACACATCACATCATACTTTTACCCATCACATCAAAGGTATTTTTGGAAAGTCAACACAAAATTATCTCTCCCTTAATTTCAACTTTAGTCAAAACGGGTAAATCTTTTTGGGACGGAGGGAGTATAAATTAATCCTTGGGAAATTAAAATTAGAGAAAATAAAAGTGATGGGGTTCTATTTAATACACAGCCTCCCCAATTCAATGCGCACACCTTACTATTGCAATTTGCAAATGATGTCGGGCCGAGACAATGGATTTAAGCATATGCTGCACTACTCCGTAGTAAACTCCATCCCTCTCAAAAATATGTACTACATTTTATTTATTTATTTGATAAAATAGATATTTTTGTCACTACTTGCTTTTTAAAATTTTAATGTAATTTTGGTAGTATGTAAATTGTATTACACCCATCCCAATTTATATTATTGGTTTTAATTTACAGTGTTTGGCTGAAGTTATTTTCAATTCGTTTTATATGAAAATTGGTGTGAAATTTTAAAAATAAAATTTATATATTTAAAGATATTCTCCAAATTTCTACTGGAGTACAAAATAAGAGGTAACATAAATATATTATTATATCAAAAGAATACCAAATTGGATAATGAAAGCAATTAAAGTTTGACCATATGGATAGTGAAACATACAACTTAAATCGAAACCTGGAGAGTATTTTATTATTTATATGTCAATCTTTAAATAAAATAAATATAAAAAATTTGAAACTTCGCTTCGTATTGCGTAAAGTGCTTAACATTTCGTTATAGAGGAGTATATCAATGATATGATACCGTATCAGGATAACGAAAAACTTCAAGCGTGTTCGTTCAAACATCAAAAAGAAAAAAAAAGGAGATGATAGACTGTGGAGGAAAACATATGGACCTAAAAAATGGGGGTTACACAACTTCATCATACACCACGCACAACAAGCCAGCTTCTAAAACACCGCTTAATATCTAAAGCTTACTTGCGGTCTCAGGAAAAAATGTTTGTCTTATAGAGAACAAAGCTTACTTTATTAATTTATCCCAAGTGATGATTGTGATGATCATGCTGAAGCAATAGTTGTTGCCATTAGTCATGTGAAGTTATTAATGAAAAATATATGGAAGGATTTAGTAGATTCATTCTCTTTCTATCATACAATCACACTGTACCATCAAATTGATGTGTAATTATAAGGATCATGTACCTCTCCTTCCCAACAACTAATAGTCAAATCACCCGAACCAAGCTCCATAAAAAATTAGCTAGAGATTGCTCGCATTTAAATAATGTTAATGACTGGTTGATTTATTCAATTATTATATATTCCAATATGATATCTCATATTACGGCATACTACGACCATCAATACATATGATTGGACATTGAAGATGTTGATGCACCGTCGTGGTACTACTACAGACATATCGGGAGGCAAAGACTCATTTTGATAACATTTGCTACGAGTGAGAACTATTGAACTTTCAGTTTGTTGTTACTATCAATACTATCATCTTTATATATCTTTGAATATCATTACTTGGGATTACATTTTTTCTATGTTGGTTACAAGAACCAGAAAACAGGTGCAAGGAACTGGAGGATCCACAGTGAGCTCAATAAAAAATGTGCAGAGGAGCTTAGCTAACGTGGGCTAACAACAAGATGAAAAAAGAGCTTCGACGCTAGAAAATAGTCATAATTTTCCAATCTAGACTTACGTAAAACCTAGCTACTGATTTTTTTGACTTGTAGCTCCTCTTCTCTGTTCTACAGGGAAAAAGAATCAGCACTTAAATTGTTACAAAAGTCTAGATGGGCAAATATGACTAATTTTATTTAGCATTCAAGCTCTTCCTTGAGCTTGTTGTTAGCGTACATGAGCTGAGGGCCTATACATTTTTTTGTTTCAGCTCACTGTGGATTAACATAGAAAAAATGTACTCGTAATTAACATAAAAAAAATAACATATCTCATATAAAAAATGTAATTAACATATCTCTCTTCAGGTTCTTGTAATATTAACATAAAAAAAATGTAATCTCATATAATGATATACAAAGACATAAAAAATGATAGTATTGATAATAGAAACAAACCAAATAGTTCAATAGTCTTCACCCGTGGTGAATGTTATCATAATGAGCATTTACCTTATGATATGTTTGTAGTAACACCATGGTGGGTGCATCAACATCCTCAATATCTAACCATATATATTGATGGTCGGAGTATGTAGAAGTAGAGATACCATCGAGAAACATTCAAGAATAGAACCAATCAACCAGCCTTGAACTTATGAATTGAACAATGCTTTAGATCACAAAGGTGTAAACAAGTCTTCTCTATTTGCCATTAGGAACTCCTTAATCATTAATAGGGATAAACTAATAATAAAGTAAGATTTGTTCAATACAAGACTAAAACATACAGTAATTCATTTCTCTCAATAAAACCTATTGTGTTTTATTCTAATAAAAATAATACCTAATTATTAAATAATTATTTATTTATATTTTTATGGTGTCTATTTACTATTTTGCCCTTGTATACTAGTTATATCATAACTTAATTATCATATGAACCATCCAAACCCTAAATATTCCCACTCACCTTGTCTAGTCCCCTCTTCTCTTATTCTACATCTTACTTCTGCCGTGACTTCCTTCTTAAAAGGGAATGGTCTAACACAAGCTGATTTGATTTAGTGTTTGCAAATATAATGGTTTATAGCCCATAGTTTACATAGAGAAAGTGGTCAACTGCAAATGCTCAAAAAGGTACTCGGATCCTCCTTGCTTCTGTTTTTTTGGCTATTGTTCATCTATTAGCCTAATTACACCCTAACTGGTCATCATAGCCACTGCTCAATCTTCCAATTTCCTTCGACGCCATCACTCGTCATTTCCATTCAACTTTATTTTGTTTGACATCTTTTATTTGGCAAGATTCCATTTTGATGTTTATGGATTAATTATGTTCTATTTTAAATACGTAATATTCACATTTTTTAGTTCAAGTTGAGGCTTACGCCTCAATACGCCTTGTCAAAATAACACCTCAAAACCACAATACACAATTTCAAACATTGGTCTTGATGAGAGATCATTAGACATTATATAGAAGAGTAGAACACACTGCAGAAGACAATATTTGAGATAACTGAGGACATTGAGTTTGCAAGGATAAGAATAGTAGAGGACAGTGAAGACTTGACATCTTAAACTTAAATAAACATGGGTAAATTTAATGAATGGCATACGAACTTTCAACATTATTTTATTTCGGTATATACTATATAAACTATAAATCATGTCGCAAAAATACGCCAATTTTCAAGATTCTTTCATTTTAGTCCACTAGCTCGTTTCGAGGTAACCAACCTCGAGCCAAATTGCAAATTATAAAATTTTAACCTTTTTATTTTAAGCACATTGTTTTCAC